TAGCTCGCGGCGACGCCCTCCCGGACCGCGAGGAGCTCCTTGCCGTGCGCGGCCTTGAGCGCGGCGACCTCCTTGACGAGCGCGGCCTCAGCGTCTGCACGCTTCACACCTGCAGTGACGCCTTGCAAGTGGGCGCGAGCGAGGTCGTCGGCGGCGAGCGCCGCCGCGCGGGCGGCCTCGGCCTCGCGCGCCTCGAGCTTGGCTGTCCACGCGCGCGTCGCGTCGTCGCGCGCGGCCTCGGCGCGCGCCGCGGCGACGCCCTCGAGCTCGGACTCGAGGGCCTGGAACGTCTTCAGCCAGCACCCGTCCAGCTCCGCGAGCGCGTCGGCCTTGGCGGCCTCCGCGGCCTCCCAGACCTGGAACAAGTCCTCCGCGTGCTCCTTGCGCCGGAGCGCCCGGGGGTTGCGCGCCGCCGCGAGCTCCATCGCCTGGGCGTCGATGGCCTTAGGGGCTGCGCGCGCGGCCGCCGGGGGCCGCGTCGCGGCGCCGCCGCAGCCCGCGCCGCCGACGCAGCCCGCGGCGCCGCAGCCCGCGCCGCCGACGCAGCCCGCGGCGCAGCCCGCGCCGCAGCCCGCGCCGCCGACGCAGCCCGCGTCGTCATGCTCCACGGCGGCGTGCTGCGGCGCCATGACGCCGATGAGCGGGTGGCCGATTGATCAGACTGTGGTGCAGGGCAACAACTCGTGTCAAACTCGCTCCGAGGAAGAGAGCGCGGCATCGTGAGGTTCGGGCTTTTTGGTTGAAAATGTGCAAGCGGGCTACGTTTCATGCTACCTTTCCATAGCTTTGGCTCTCCCTCATGATGCCATCTCATCTCGCGCCTCCTGTCGGCCATGGCGGCGCCGAACGTGCTCTACGCGCAGCTGGGCGCGATGCAAATCGCGGCGCTGCGGACCATGCACGCGGTCGTGGCGAACCCGGCGGCATGCTGCGGCGCCATGACGCCGATGAGCGGGTGGCCGATTGATCAGACTGTGGTGCAGGGCAACAACGATCCGACCACGAACGCCGCGCAGCGGCGCCTCGAGGCCGCCAACAACGGCGAGATACTGGACGTGACGATTTTCAGCGGAGCTACGGTGCACGGAATCTTGTTCGCACCGCAGGTGGACGCGAACAACACCGTGCCGCGCCAGTTCATCCAGCAAATCGACCCAAATTTCGTTCCGACGCCGGGCAACCCGGCGACGGGCGTCCTGCCCAACTACCTCGTCATCCACAATTTTGCGCCCCACAACAACAAATTGTCCGACAATAGCACGCACGCAGCTTTCAACCCCGACACGGTGTCGTTCGTGTGGAAGACCACGGAGAAGGCGCTCCCGGGGGGGGACATCCTCATGTGCACGTGCCCCGACACGCATTACAAGTACTATCCCGGAGGATTGGGCGGCGCCTTGACTCCGAACCCCCGTCACGCGCGTTCCCGGCGCGGCGGCCTTTCCCAGCCGCGGCGACAACGCGCGTGTAGGTGTGCAAGCACGTCCTCTACGTCATCGCGCTTCAGGGCCAGATGACCCACCTGGATGTCATGTGGAACACCGGCCAGATCCCTTAGGCTCCCTTCCCGCCCTGCGCCCGACATAGGGGCTCGCGCTTAAAAAGACGCTGCCGACTCGATCCGCGGAGCGCGTCGCATCGGCCACGGCGCCGCGGCGCACGTCGACGCGGCCGACCCGTCGCGCCCACGAGCAAGGACGACCGCACCGGCAGCGGCGTCAGCGTCGTCGGCGGCGGCGTCGTCGGCGGCGGCGCCGCGGGCAGCGTCTGGGCCTCGAGTTCGCCGCGCCGGGCGATCCGCGGAGCGCGTCGTCGGGCGTCGGGCGCCGTGGCGCACGTCGACGCGGCAAGCCGTCGCGCCCACGAGCCAGGACGACCGCATCGGCGACGGCGTCGTCGGCGGCGGCGCCGCGGGCAGCGTCTGGGCTTCTAAAGTTCGCCGCGCCGGACCGTCACACGCAGTGCCTCGCGTAGAGCCCGCCGAACACGACCCAGGACACGCAGCACACGCCGAGCCGCACAACGAGAACGTCGCGCGCACGTCGGCGTAGAGCATGTCGCGAGGAGGCCCGTGGCCGCCGCCGCGGCCTCCGCCGCGACGTCGCCGTAGTCGAGGGCGGCGTAGACGAATTGCCGCGCCGCGTGAAGGAGCACAGTGACGGGCACGTTGCTCCAGGTCGCCGGGTCCGCGCCGCGGCGGAACGCCGCGGCGAGCGCGGACCGGAGCGGCGCGGGCGGGTCCCGGAGCTTCGCGATCGCGACCGCGACGTCGGAGACTTGATTGATGCTGAGCTCGTCGAAGCGGTCCGCGAGCACGGACGCGAAGGCGCCGAGCAAGTCCAGGTCGACAGGCGGCGCCGCCTTCAGCGCGTGCACGAAGAAGTCCGCGAGCGGGCCCGACGGAGCGCCGCGCACCGCGCGCGTCACGTCGTCCGCGTCCGCGACCCGCAGCGCCGCGACGGCCGACAGGTGGCCGCCACGCTCGCGGAGCTGGAGCCGTCGCAGCGCGTCGGCGAAGGAGCCGTAGCCGCCGCCGCGGCCGCCGTGGCCCTCGGCGACGCCCGTGCCGAAGCCTTGGCCGCCCTGGCCGCCGAAGCCCTCGCCGCCGGGCGAGGGCGCGTTCGGCGAGCGCTTGCGCTTCTTCGGATTCGTGGGCTTGAATTTTCCCATTCCCATCAGCTTTTGTTTTTTTGGGGCGGGCGCGCCGTCGCTCATCGTGTCGCAAAGCGTCGAGAGGTCGCTGATTCAGCTCCTGTGAAGATAGCTAGGTTCGGCCGGGGGGACCGACGGCCCTGCCGCGAGTTGTGCCGCTCTTAGCATCTACGTCTTCGTCCACGCATCCGTAGCCACGGTGACGTTTAATTCTGCGACATCTCTTTTTAACATGGGAGGATCGCACGACGCGTACGACCCGCGGCCGGCCGCCGCGCGACGAGGCCGGGCCGCGCGCGTCGTCGTGGAGTTCTCCAGGGTGCCCCGAGGGCGGCCAGTGATAGAAGTAAGAGCCCGAGAGTAGCCGAGCGCATCGCCGACGCTGGCCGAGGCGTCCCTAGGCCGCGCCGCGGCGGCAGGCCTAGGCCTGACGGCGCCGGCGCCGGAGCGTCTCGACGAACGCTGCACTGAGCTAGGAGAGGCTCTCCGTGAGAGCACACCACCATGCTGGCCGCCGCGCGCGCCACCGCAGCGCTGCGCATCACCGCGCGCAAAGCAGCGCCGCGCCTCCTCGTGCCGCCAGCGATCGCCACAACAACGCTCGTCATCACGCACAACACTACACACAACAACGCCGCCGCGCAACAACTCCGACAACCAAAGCTCCACCTCCTCCGCCCCGACCGCTTCGGCGTCGTCGTCCCCCACGGCGGCTGGCGCCTCTGGTGCTTAGTCACACGCCGCCTCGCGCGATGGCTCGCGCTCTTCGGTCCCGTCGCGTGCTGGGCGCCCGCGGCGTACGTCCTCGGGCTGCGACGGCTGCGGCGGCTCTGGTTCGCGCACCTTCTCTGGGCGACGGAGGCCGCGGGCCCGACGG